GGTTCTGTCTGATCTTTTCGGCATTGGCCGTGCTCAGGGTGGGAATTAACTTCACGAAGAGGAACAGCTCCCTCTTGAGTAAGACATTCTTCGGGCTTCAGGGCGTGTTTGAGGATGTCTGTCTTATTCTTGTCGGGGTAGTCTGGACGAAGGCAGCCGCCTTCTTGCGGGGATTGTTTACGAGTGGATGCGGGATAGACCCAAAGCCAAATGGCAACCGCACCGACGGGGAGACAAAGGGCGGCTGCCCATCCGGCCAAAGAGATGCGCTGGCTGAGGTTGACGGAAATCATGGCTCGACTACCGGCATAAGAGCTTGTATGTTGGGACCGAGATTCGTACAAGTTGTTGGATCACGGATGCTACGCTTCGGCGAACAGTACAAGGCCCTCCTAGTGGAGGCAGCTTCGTGGCCTTGGTGAGGCTGAGCTTGGTAGACGACGGCGAACCGCGGTGTGAGAAGTTGGGCGATCGAGGCTCAGCTTCTAGGCCCAAAACGCTATAGAGCGTCCATATCCAATCATTTCAATCCACGGAGCTAGGCGCAAACGCCAGTCGCGGCCAATAATGCCTCTCGCAATAAGACACGGCGCGCCCCTGGCATCTTTATGCACTTTACACAGTACGATGTCGAGCCGGTGTGACGGCGGTCAATAGCAACGAGGAAAAGTATCACTAATATAGCTATACCATTGTCTAAGGATTCTAAGGTGAAGAAGAAAGATGTGAAGGCAGGCAAATACAAGAGGAAAAGCTGCAAGTAAATAGTGGCTAAATTCGTAAGTAACTAAGCTAAGGAAAGGAAAGGAAAAGGAAGAAGCCTGCGAGTCCTGCAGGCGCAGCATTTCTTGGCAGATTTAACATGCTAGGGATTGCTATTAATTGCTTGGATCGATTGCTCAAAAAGCGCTCTACTGTGTATACTTGGATGATCCTGGCAACTCCATAGGCCTGAAGGAATCTCGCGTTTGACTGGGGAAGTGCCCTACATATTACTTGAGTGGGCCTCTGTTCGCTGCCAATGCCAAGAAGCAGTGGGAATTCTCTTCCGTTTGTGAGCACAACCGATTTTTTAAAACTAAAACGTGACACTAACAAGGGAAAGAGGGTCCCGTTTTTGGATCCCAAGAACCCCTGGTTTCTGACCCCCTCTACCTCGCAGGGCAAGCTGCTAGGGATTGGATTGTGTCACTGGAGGTACCTCCTGAAATGGCGGACCTGGACCAAGAAATTATGTGAATGTCCTGTACAGAGGTGGTTCGGTAACATGGGTTGTAGAGACGCCTCAAATAGTAAATCCCGAATGAAAAGATATGGGTGTAAACCGAGAATAGAGAATAAACGTCGCTGTTGTACGGATATATCACGTACATACATGTACGTAGGGTACATACGGGTGCTGTGAGTTTACCGTACCTCTCATTAGGATTTGGCGCATGCACGACGTCGCTGTCCCACCGCTGGGACTTTTGGGTGGGTTTAGGTGGGGGCCCTGAGGCTCCTCCAGTCCCTGCTCTGCACCAGCGGCACTGACGAAACCACCTCAACCGAAAGGAGCCGCAACGAGCGACGACGGCCGCGACTGCGACCTGACACTGACAACGCAATTTCGACACAATCGGCGGCCACATCCCCATTGACGCCGCTGGTTTCAATGTTGCCCGACGTCCGAGACCAGTAGACCTCAGTCTCGCTTGTCGCTTTTCTCCTCACCGCCCGCCATGAGTGCCCAGCTCCGCGCTGCCGGGGCTTTTGCCCCCCTCGCCCGTCGCATCACACTTCGAGCCGTCCGTCAGTACCATCCACTGCCCACCGGCGGACTCCAGCGCGCCGATGGCGCTGCCCGCACAATCCGCCCCTCGATGCGCTTCACCGCCAACGCCTACCACAACGCCGTCATCGTCCGCAATGCCTCCTTCGCCCGCCTGCTCCCAAAGCTCGTCGTCAAGTTCGCCAGGATCCCCGCCCTGTTCGGCGGCCTCATGATTGGCGGCGTGGCTTGGATCCAGTACCAGGCCATCCAAGTGAGCAACTCGGCCCAGGAGCTGTACGGCAACGTCAAGACCACCCTGACCGCCACTGCCTCGGACTTGTGGGGGAGCGCAGTCGACATTGCCGGCCAGACGAAACGCGGCTGGCAGAACACCAAAGACAAGGTCGAGATTCCCGAATGGCTCGACAAGATTATGAAAGGGGAAGGCGAAGCTGGCAATGGCAATGGGGGCTCCGGAGGCCCAGGAGGGCCTGAACCGCCGAAGCAGAGCAAGACGGGTGTCGCAGCCGGCGTGTCGGCTTCCGCCGCTGCCTATGGCTATGACCAGGCGGCCGACAACGACGAGCGAACCCCCGAGGAGATATCCAAGGACGACCACATGATGTACATCACCAAGATGATGATCGAGATACGGAATCTCCTCCAAAAAGTCGGCCAGTCGAGCTCCGTCACCCTGCCGTCCATCGTCGTGATTGGGTCGCAGTCTTCGGGAAAGAGCTCGGTGCTGGAAGCCATAGTGGGCCACGAGTTTCTGCCCAAGGGCACCAACATGATAACACGCCGGCCCATTGAGCTTACGCTAGTTAATGATCCCGATGCCAGGGTCGACTACGGCGAATTCCCCGACCTCGGCCTCAACCGGATTACCGACTTTTCGCTGATACAGAAGAACCTGACCGAGCTCAACCAGTCTGTGCCCGACACGGAGTGTGTTTCGGATGACCCTATCCGCCTCATTATACACTCGCCCAAGGTGCCAGACCTGTCTCTCATTGACCTTCCCGGCTACATCCAGGTGGCCGGGGAGAACCAGCCCCGGGAGCTGAAGCGGAAGATATCGGAGCTCTGCGACAAGTACATTCGGGGCCCCAACATCATCCTGGCCATCTCGGCTGCCGACGTGGATTTGGCGAACTCGACTGCCTTGCAGGCGAGCCGCAGAGTTGACCCCAGAGGAGAGCGGACCATTGGCGTCATCACCAAGATGGACCTGGTCGATGCCGAAAAGGGGGCGGCCATCCTGAGCGACAAGCAGTATCCCCTCCGGCTGGGCTACGTCGGCGTGATTTCCAAACTGCCCTCGCAGGGCCTCTTCAAGCGGGACACGGGCAACCTGTTGGCCGTCATCAGCCGAAACGAGAAGGCCTTCTTTAGCTCGCATCCGTCCCAGTTTGGCCCCGAAGCTAAAGTCAACATTGGCACTGTCACGCTGCGGAAGAAGCTAATGCAGGTTCTGGAGCAACAGATGTCGTCCAGGCTGCAAGCCACTACAGATGCCATTCAGCGAGAGCTTGAAGAGACGACGTACCAGTTCAAGGTGCAGTATAACGAGGAGCCCATGACAGCAGAAGCATACCTGGCGGAGAGCCTCGACAACTTCAAGCACCTGTTCCACAAGTTTGCGTCGTCGTTTGGTCGGCCCCAGATGCAGGACCTGCTGAAGAGCGCTCTAGACCAGCGGGTGCTCGACCAGCTGGCGGCGCGGTACTGGAACAAGCCCATCGAGGATCTCTATGCGGCGCCCAACGAGCCTGACAGCATCGCCGATCTCCCCAAGGCCGACCCCAAATCCCATTACTGGCACATGCAGCTCGACACGGCGTCTTCTGCGCTGACCAGGCTCGGCGTGGGCCGTTTGGCGACGACTGTGGTGTCCGCCGCGGTGCAGTCCAACGTCGACAAGCTGATTGACAAGTCTTCGTTCGCGAAGCACCCGTCGGTCCGCCAGGTGATCAGCGAGGCTGCGGCTACGGTGCTCGAGGACCGGGCTTATACGACCAGCGACGGCATCGAGTTTTCTCTCAAGCCGTACAAGTACGAAGTTGACATCCAGCCGCAGGAGTGGAACCAGGGACGGGAACATGTTGCGGGGGTTCTCAAAGGAGAGCTAGACCAGTGCCAGGCAGCCATGAAGAATCTCGAAAACGTAGTCGGGGGCAAGAAGAAGCTCAAGGAGGTGATGGGGTTCGTGGATAGGGCACGCAAGGGGGACATTGCGGTCGAAGGCGAGAGCAGAAACGGGGCGGGCGGGTTCAGCGCTGCGCTGCTCGCAAGAGGTACGTCACTTCCCTTTACTTTCTCCTGCTTTTCAAAGGTTTGTGTCTGACTCTGGGTGCTAAACTATGACAGGACGCGAAGCCGTGTTTCTCCGGGACCGGGCCGACATTATCAACATGCGCATGCTCGCGGTCAAGTCGCGGCAGTGCAAGTCGCTCGAGAACAAATACTACTGCCCCGAGGTGTTCCTCGACGCCGTGGCCACCAAGCTGACGCAGACGGCCGTGCTCTTCCTCAACGTCGAGATGCTCAACGACTTCTACGCCCGCTTCCCCCGCGAGGTCGAGGCCAAGCTCGGCGAGCAGATGGGCGGCGCCGGCATCGAGCGCTTCGCCCGCGAGGACCCCAGGATCAGGCGGCATCTAGACCTCATCCGCCGCAAGGAGCTGCTCGAGCTCGTCCTCTCCAAGATCGAGACGCTCAACCGCCTAGACACGCACAACGACACAAAGCTCGACGGCGGGTACAAGAAGCGGCTGAGGCGGTCACTGTTTTGAGTGAGAGGTTTGCCTCGGGATGTTGGGGATGAACGGGGGGTTTTTTTTTTTTTTTTTTCAAAATGTCGTTTGTCCATTGGGATGGTGTCTAGGCGCGGTGTCGGTTGTTTTGGTGTGTCCTTGTGGTTTGTTCGTCTCGTCATCCCCGCCGGGGATGTGAAACTGGGAGGGTGGTTTTTTTCTTTGCGTCTTGGTTAGTGCACAGTTAGAAGTATTGCCTGTACATATCCTGAATACCCTCCTCGAGTTCTTTTTCTAGATATATATATACATTTAACCATGTCAAGCATGTGGTGTGGTGTTTCGATGTCTCCATTTTTCCCCTGGGTATTCCATATCTGTTGTTAGCATGACCTCTGTCTCATCCACCCCTCGGGCCATGACATGACATGACTCGATACCAACCCACAACTTCAACAAAATCAGATCCTCCTTCTGATTGATCCCAACAGGGCAAGATGGCCGAGCGGTCCAAGGCGCCACGTTAAGGAATTACAAATCCCTTCATTCACGATCTCGAGCCAAGCTCGTCGTCAATTGATTCCGTGGTCCGAAAGGGCGTGGGTTCGAATCTCACTCCTGTCAGAGCTTTTTTTTTGTCGTCTCGGACTTTTGGGTTATGGGGCGGTTCAAGTTAATGGTTTCTTTTTTTCTATGAGGGGGGGATATGGAAAAGAGTTAATGGGTTGTTTCTCGTTGTATTTTACATATGTGTGCATACATCTACAGTACTTTTAAGGAGCAATCTTGTTTCTCTCGCCCTCTGTAGATATTTCACTTGGAAGATAAATTAAGGACGTCGCTCTCTCCATCTGCATCGATCTAGGGCTTTGAGATAGGTTGCGCCGGCTTTGCTTTGAGATAGGTGTGGCAAGAGCTCGCCGACCACCGTTTTTAGTGCCTCCCTCGATCCGTTTCGTATTCTTTTTGAAGTCTCGTTCAATTCTGGGTTTTCTTAATCGATGGATTAATGACTTGGTCCGAATTTGAATCCACAAGCCGAATGCTTCCTTTCCACGCTTGGGTGTAAGTATGGGAAAAGTAACCTACCGAAGTTATCTTTAGCCTCTCTCTCTCTCTCTCTCTCCTTTCTATTTGGAAAATTTATATCAAGTAGTAAAATATAAAATCCCCCAGAGTGAGATTGATGCCCGCAGTGATTTTTGTCGTTTCAATGGCTTGCTAGAATGACAAGGGGGGTTTCTTTTGTCTGAAATGGTCTTTGAGGATTTCTGTCGGGCGCGGAGGCGCCTAGGTCAAAACTAGCAATACCGGGGTTCCAATGCCACAATCCCCACAAGTGCCTGCAAGGCAATTGGCGGGACATAAGCAAGAAATCCCTCGTGGCGCAATTGGCTAGCGCGTCAGACTGTTAATCTGGAGGCTGTTGGTTCGACCCCAACCGAGGGAGATGTTTCCCTTTTTGATTTTCTTTAATTTTTTGAGTTTTGTCCGGGGGTTTGTGGAAGGGATGTTTTTACTAAACTTGGGCAATCACAATCTATCGTCGAGGATTTGGTTTTGTTACGTAGATGGAACTAGGTAGGTAGGTGCTTCCGGGTGCTGTTTACGGCGTGACCTATTAGGGGCAGGGGCGAGTTGGACTCGACAAGTTAGGGCACTAAGGGGAATTCTTGATCTGGCATTATTGTCGGATCAACAACTTTTCGTGCAATTAGTTTCTTGTTTGGACCACTGGTTATGCTGCGTGTCGTAGGCTTTCCACTACGACTGGTATTGGCTGAGGTGTTCTCTAAAGGGGTCGGGGGATTCTCTTAAGCAGTGCCACTGACACTACAGGGTGTATACGCCAGTGCAGAGGGATGTCGAGTTCGTGTGCTAGTTGACCAATTTGTTTTTTGATCGTGAATGGCCCGCTGCGCTGCTCCGAGTATTTTCGACTTGGGTTGTGTGGTTGCTGGTACCCATGAACGTGATGCAGCTGAAGCATTACTGAGTGCGCCTGCCCTTGATGATGTTGACTGCATGGAGAAGGTCTTGCGGTGCAATATCGTCCTCGCGAATGCACTATGCGCGTTTTGTCGAGTCATTGTCGCAAACATCCCCGCATATACCTACCCGAGGATTCAGGGGGTAAGGGGCCAAGGCTATGTAGTTATGGTTCCTCCTAAATAAGTAGAGAATACCGAGAGTCTGCACTCTTGTGATGAAGGAAAGTGAATAACTTCCACAGATGCAGTTGACTCGTTGAACCAGGCACCGCGGGAGTAAAACAGGATTTTGCATACACGTGGGTGGCCTGCCCTCTCCAGTGAAAGTGCATTGTCCTGACCTCCAACTTTGTGCGGGATCAAATCAGTTCATTCGTATTCTCTTCTGGGAACTTCCATTCGTATTGTTGCAAATTTGATTCGGACTCCCCCTCAAAGTCATAGTCGCCCTTTCTGCCTAAAGAGGCAAATCCTCGTTTAATTCTTGATTGATATGGACTGGTTCTCGTGTCTCGTATCTATGTCCCTCGTCCCTTGCTTGGCCCGTAGAACCAGCCTAGGATAGCTTGTCAGATACTTTTTGTATACTGCGTGATTGCTAGGCGTGGAAAGTGCTGATCGGCTGAGTTCCTGATAGACCTAGTTGACATCGACTTCCTGGGGGATATTAGATACCTTGCGCTTTATGGAAGCTCCGAAGCCATATATAGGCTTGGTCCACCGTTTCCATCTGTGATTGCTCTCGTCTGACGGGGTTGGAGTTGGTCTTTTAGTAGTGACCTCGATTTAACCTCTGTATTGAGGCCATGGTCTTCGACTCCCTTTCTGCCGAGCTTGGGTCTCACATGACGCCTTGCTCTCGGGTCCGGCGTCAGAATTTGGCGAGAAGAAACGGTCTTGGCCTCGTGGTTGGACGTTGAGAACCACCGTCGCATGTTATGCCGGAGTTGTACAGCGAACGGCTTTACAGCACATGAATCATCCATAGGGAAAGTTCCGGTGTCCGAAATGACAGTCTCCGAGAGCTGGCCCGCTGTCTGGTCGGCGATAGCAGACGAAACGTGCAAGGAGGTTGAAATGTCCAGCCCAGCATTTCCAAAGTCGTCTCACCGGCATGCAGTCAGTCGCTCCTCTTGCCAATCATTAATTGTCCCGTTCGTATGGAAGATGGCAGCTATCCTTCGATATATCGGTAGAGATGGAGGCCCGTTTCACCAACGCCCTATATTGTCACGCCCCTGGCGGACGGGACAGAGGCAACGAATCTGTGGATAGCCGCGTTGTCGGGATCCGTACCATCATAGGGGCTCTCTAGGATGGCCTTGAGCGCGTCCCATCCGGCTCTCAGTTCCACTAGAGCGTTGTTCCGGATGATCTGACGTATCGCCGCGACCTCCACATGTCCCGACGGCTGGCTCAGCCCAAACATCACTTGACGGATGATAAGCGGGTAGCTATCATCCCGGGCGACCTCGCCAACCTGGTGACTGACTCCTGTTGTACTCGGAGGCCATCTCGACAACCTCCCGCACGCGCCGCATCACGGAACCCAGCATTTCGCCGAAAAGCGCGATGGCTATAGCCGTCGCTTGCTCGTTCGTCAAGGTCTCCGTGACGGGCTTGTTGCTCCGTTCGACGGTGACCTTGAGCCCTACCAGGCTATCGTACGTGGCCTGGGCAAGCCGTTCCATCTCAGCCTTGCCAAAAGACTGAACGTCCAAGACCAGCGTAGAGCTCAGCTCCAGCTTCTTCGTGGCCGACGACAGAGCCAGAGATAGGCCTGGCAGAGGCAGGCGTGACTTCTGTGTCGGCGTTTCGACCACAGACTCGTCGCTACCGTAGGTAGAGCTGATGCTAGGCGTATTGGCCCTGGTAAACAAACTCCCCGCAATAGCCTTAGGCGCGGCAGCCTTAGGCGCAGGAGACTCGCTTCCAGGGTCGACGCTCTCCGTATCCTCTGGTACGTACGGAGCCCCGTCGTCGGCGCTAATGATAACCAAAGTCCCCGTCTCGTCATCGGTGTCGTCTGAGCGGTCTGTCTCCCAGCCAGCGTCCATAATCATGTTGATATGCTTCCTGGAGACATTCTCGTACTCACTCTTCCAGCTCGAACAGCAAATTGGTCTCCTTCGGCACCAACAAATCCCACCGCACCGTTGCAAAAAGGCCACACAAAAACCCAGCGACGAAGAGAGGCCGTCCGAACCTGCACGAGAACTTCGCGCGCCTCATTGTCTTCATCAGTCGACATGTTTCACGTAATTCTTATAATCAAGACGTTCGATTAGAATAGATGGGGGAAAAGTTCAATTCTTTTTTTTAAAAAAAAAATTAAAAAGAAAAAGAAAAGAAAACCCAAGCAAGTAAGGCTGGGTAAAAGAATAGAGTAAAAAAAAAGAAAAGAATAAAAAGGGGCAAAACGAACCCAGACGACGAACAACCCAAGCGACCAAACCCGAACGACCCAGCCCGAACGAACCAACCCAAACGAGACCCGACCCAAACCATGCGCACCCGCGCGCCCCAGTCTGCCTCGTCGTCGTCATTGTCATCATCATCGTCGTCGTCGTCATCATCGTCATCGTCATCGTCGCCGTCGTCGGCCCAGCCCAATTTCTTCGTCGCCGTCGCCGTTGTCGCCGGCTCGGCCCAACCTGCTTCTAGGCAGGGTATTCAAAGTCTCGGACGCTGACGCCCATCTCGGCGAGCAGGGCCGGATCCTGCTCGGGGCCCGCGTTCCACGCGAGTGGCGGCGGTGCGGTGGTGGTGGTGGCTGCGGTGGTGGCGGCCGCAGCAGAGGGAGAAGAACCAGCAGTGCTGGTGGTGGTGGCGGTGGTGGTGGTGCCGGAGGAGGAAGCGGCGCCGGACCCAAGGTTCAAGCCCAAAAGGGCTCGCAAAACTCCCCCCTCGGGGGCCTTTCTCTCCCGTCGGTGGACGGGGACCGGCGGAGCTGTGAGGAAGTTGCTTGTCAGTACCGATGTTTGATGGCTGGTTTTGTTTGTCTTTTCTGGCAGTAGCAGGGGGAAAAAAGGATTGGACACATGTCACGGGAGAATGAGAATGAATAGATGGAGGTTGATATCAACTGGTGATATGCATGTAATACTATAAGGCGGGAGAGGCAGGTCGGAAAGGAAAGGGAAGGGCGGAACAAACTGGCTGGTCTCGATATAGCGGCTTGGGCATCAAGATACCTAACCTCAAAACAACAACAACAACTCGAAAAAGCAAAGCCTGAAGCGGTGGTGGCATGTGTGAGCATAAGATCCGCAAGATGGGGTTATGATAGGAGGAAGATTGGGAAGAAAGAAGCTTAGATCTAACATACCTTCGATGTCGGACTCTTCGTCCGACTCGGCGATGGCCGAGTTGCCATCGCCGCTGACGCAGCCACGCAGCGCCCGCGCCCAGTCCTTCATGTTTCGGCCACGTTGGCCGTGGCCGTTGCCGTTGCCGTTGCCGGCGCCGTCGTCGCTGCCGCTGCCGTTGCCGGCAGGGGTGGTGGTGGCCATGCTGGCCAGTCGTAAAATTTTTTCGAAAAAAAAAAAAGGGTTGGTTGGTCGTTCGATTGAACGAAGGAGAGAAAGGCTAGTCTGGGCGCAGTCCGAAGAAAAAAAGAAGAGGAAAGGGTAA